GATGGAGCCGGAGCAGAGATAAGCCGATTGCTGAAAACAGAATGTAATGTGATCGCTGGGTACAGGACTGGGAAAATGGGTAGAGGGATTCTGGTGCATGAATGGTGCTGTTTCAGTGACTGTGTGAGCCACATAGCTTTGCAGTGTTATTTACATTCCTGCTGCACATTGGAATTCTGTAGCATGTTGGTCTCAGAGTCCCATGGCCTGACTCCCAGACAGAGGGAGGGGAGGTGTGTCCCTGATTTTTATGTAAAATGTGAGAGCAGTGTGTTATCCAACCAGGGCACATTTAAAAAAAAAAGTGTTTCCATCTGGCAAAAGATCTAAAAGTCTTACACACAGTTTTGTACATGGGAGCTGCTGGTTATTATCAGTATCAGTTCCATAACAGTTTCTCAATTGTGCTATGAAATGTCAGCAAATTAAAATGAGCCAAAGTGTGTCACAATTGTCTAAGCTGAATGGAAAAGAAACAGAAATCACCCTTATAAGATTTATATTTCATACTATGGTTTACTCATGAAAGTGACCACCGTCTCATTTTTGTCTCACACAACACAATTGATTCATTCTTAAGTAAAATGTTAATTAGGCCATGATATTAAAATGGCAAGCTTGCCACCAAATAGCTCTGACCTATTATCGATGTAGGACCTTTTGATGATAGTCCTGCAGTTACTGGTACTAGGACAGAAGTAGGTGATCCTTTAGGACATGTGGGGTGCAAGTGGTACCTCCATGGATCGGGCTTGTGTAACATGCAGATGCTTACTGGATTGGGATCTGGGAATTTAGAGGCCTGGTAAAAGGCACGAGCACTTTATTGCTTTCCTTGAGCTGCTCCTGCCACACTGCAAGGTGCGTTCTCCTGCTAGACAAGGCTGCTGCTGTTGGGATGCCATTTCAGTTAAGGCTGTGTTTGGTGTGCAAAACCAGAATGATGTCATTCACTTTCATTTGTATTTAATTTCAAGCCCAAAACATTAAGGATATTCCTTTTTAAATCTCATGTAACAGGAAAAAGAACTGTAAATTATTCGAGTAGAGACTGAGGAACTGAGGATTTTCTATCACCTTTGCTTCACAAGTACTTATTGCTCATCGAACATGCTCATTCAGTTAATGCCACTCAACATCAGTCAACTGATTTATTTTTTCTATCAACACTGAGGACTGTTTGTATTTTAATCATTGCAAGTTGTTACTATGCTGTGGAGTTTCTCACCCAAACTGGCTCGAAGGGACATTACAGTGCATTGGTGAGAGATCTTCTAATTGAATCAGTATGTTAATTACAACTGCTTTACTGGTATTTTGGGAGTAAATCATGTTGGACAACTAAATCCCAAACCTCCTCATGCTGACTCATTTAATTGGAGCTCTCTACAAGTATGAAACTAGCTGTTGCGTTTGAGTCCATAAGACTGTCCGTCCAACATTTATCATGATGTCGGGGCCATTGTCCTGACTTAAATCCCGTGACTCCACTCGGAGATGTATTGAAAAATTGCTCCACTGACAATGCCCTCCCTCTAGTCTGAGCTCTGAGCGTCACAAAGTGGGAGCGTGTTCACTGCTGATGTTGCATTCCAGCTGGAACAATCCCACTGTTTTCCAGACTCCAAAGTGGACGCCTAAATTGGACCCCCCTTCCCCCCTCCAAAGTCCCCCCCTAGTCCCCCCCCACCCCCCATACACACCCCTTTTCCCCCTCTGCTCTAAACCTACCATCCAAACCACCCACCCACCACCCACTCCTCCTCCCATACATGCATCCCCTGGTCTCCTGTCCTTATTTGGGTAAAGACGTTCTGAGTGCTCGTTGGAGGGGAGGGAGGGGAGGGCGCTGGGTTGACACAAGGGAGGCAGGAGGAGAAACAGTGAGCACTCGCAGCCCTTTCTTAATAAGGACATGTCTGGAATTCAGGCCCCTCTCTTAGTGAAGAGCCTCTCTTTTGCAGCACCTCACTTGAACACGCTCTTGTGAGCACTTGGAGCTCCATTGAGGTCGTCGGATCTGATGTTACATTGAGGGCTGTTTGCGGCTCTTCACTGCTCACAGTGCAGAGGAGGTTCGCAGTGTTTTCTCTGCTATAATTGGAGATAAACAACAGCAGCCACCTCTCCCTCCACGCCTCCCTAACTGTGCCATCAGCCTATGATTACGGTCTCGGCTTTACTGAGCCCGTTACCCCGCAGCACCTGCGCACACATTAATGACATACTTTGAAAGACATCTTCACACCAAGCTATATGACCACCATATGCTATACTTGAGATTGAGATAGACGTGTATTGAAGATTGCATTATTGTTTGTAGAAGTGGACCTTTTGTGCTGGTTTAGTTTTTAATTTGTTCCAATGCGGACAGCGTGACAACAAAGTAAAAATCGCACTGGCGAAACTCTTGTGGTTGTTTCAGTCTGCTTACACATTTTATGGTTTTAGCTTCTAAAATGTAAAGATGTGATGCTAGAATATGCCATGTATTATAGTAGATTGATTATTTTAGGGTTTTGAGATGTTGGTGAAATAAAACATTGCACTTGAAATCATCATATTTTGCTGTTGGAAACCATAACGAGCATTTCCCAATGTCTTAATTTATCTACCCACATGACATTGTAGGCCCAAACTTTTTTTTATTGTTGGTCTGTTTTCCACTTCTTGTTTTGTTTCTTTAGCAGTGCAAAATGTAAGAAATCATCACTTTTTAGAAGTTAAAACCAGATTTTTTTCTTTTCTACATAAGTAATTAAATGGCAATTCATAGTTTATGAAATGGTTTTACACAAGTCAGTGCAGGGCTTTCTAATTGTTTACTTGCACACATTTTTGATTCTTATTTATCAGTAAAGTATCACAATTTTGCCCCCCCCCCCACAAATTGGCTAGATAGATTATAATTAAACTAACCCCAACTCTAGCAGTCACTGGGAGCAGTCCAGCCCAGTGATTCGTGAGGACTGAGATCATTTGAGCTGTTGATGAGTGCTCAGTTTCAGTGTTGAGTTTTAACACCGTGACCCTGTCTCAAAGGGTCCACCGTAACCAGGACCCTCTCAGCTAAAATTAGCAGCTTGACTTGTGGATATTTCTCAAACTCTCGCTTTGGTTCAGTGTCAAAATTAATGTTGCATGTTGCTTGTGGTAGAATTTCACTGCAGGAACAGTATTGCCATACTCTATTCACCTTTGATCTTTTGTAATTCCTTTTAAATGATGATGGGAAGGGAATGAAAGCATCACTAATCCTTCGCCTCTGCTTTTCACCATCAGACATTTTGTTATAGCTACAGTAATTGTAAAGTGTGCGTGTGTTGTTCTACGTACTGATGAAAAGCATGGAAAAAGAAAGCCTAGGAGAGATTCCTGTGCTCATGAATGATGAATTTCATACATTATAGTGTATGTATAGTATTTTTTTTTTTTACATTTATATTTAAGTTTCTTCTTGTTAAAAGGGAGTTTATTCTCTCTTGTCTCATCAAGTTTCTCGTAGTGTGTTGTACCGTTGTTTCCATTTGTGAAGTTGTAGTTTCTTTACCTTGCAATATAGAGAGGATGTTATAAATGTCATGGCTGTAAAACTGCCATTACAAACAGGGGTTTTATTCACTATTGTTACTCATTTATATTTTCACCTGAGAATAGAAATGTTATGGGTTGATTTTTATGCTATTATGATATCCTGCATTTCTAAACCTCGTAATGAAAGAAAGAACTGACTGGGTCTGTATTTATCCATTATACTTTATTTTTGTCAGTATCTGCAGAAATGCTGAAGCAGAAACATAAGCATCCTGGGAGGATAATGGTTACCTCATAGACTTCCATTTTAGAAACAATACAATGCTGAAAAGGCAGCTTGAAAAATACTTAAGAGCCATGCCTGCAGTCAGCCATAAGCCAACCACACTGGAACACAGTTCCCAGACCACAAGAATTCTTTGAGGCCAGCGCTGATTAGTGAGGTCTTTAAACTTCGTTTTATGGAATATCTTGAATTCATTTGGCCATTTCAGAGACATAAAATCAAGGAAATTATCATAATGATTACGGGTTGCATTGTTTATTCTTGCAAATTTAATGACTGCAATAAAAAAAAAACGTCAAAGAAGGTAGTGGCTGTATAGATGAACAACATTCCTTTTTCAAGGAGATCTTCTTTGCTCAAGTCAAATGTTTCCAGTTGTGAGGATTTCAAAGAAAAAAGACAAATTTGAGATTTGAGTCAAATTTGAGTTGTCTTAGATTTAACTGAATTGATTGAGTTTTACTAGATATCTCCTCAAGGTTATCTGGTGTCTGTTCATAGAAGGCATCAAGTCAAAATTTATTTTTTTTGAAGCTCAGCAGTGTTGCTTCATAAACTCTAAGAACAATGTAAGACAGTTGTTCACTCCTGACCCATTTGCCTGCTACTTAGCACATATCATAGCGAGTCCATCAAATTCATGACCTCCGCACAAAAATAAGACAATTTTATGTTGGACATTTTATGTGTGTTGCCAGATAATGCCACATGTCCTGTACCTTTGCTTAATTTGGACATTTAAGTGTAAAGCTGGGACCAGCATGGATGCCATTGTGTAAACAATGGCTTTGATCTAGTAGAAGATCAAACTTCTACTATGGCAACATCTGTAAATTCTACTAGGTGAGGTTTTACTGGAGAAAAAATATATAATAGTAATAATAATTATAATAGTAATAGGAACTGAAGTGAAACATTGTGCTTCACTGATTTGTTTTATATTCTTTTTTAGCAACAAATAAGGGTTAAATTATGGATTTGGCAAAACAGACAATACTTTTTCAATGAGCGTTTCCAAATAACGCTGGACTAACGATAAACTGTTTCTACATTTCCTCAGACCCTTTAACTTGCTGTTTGGGTGAAAAACACTGTTTGTTGGGTTGTGCTCTGGTGATGATCATAAAAATTGCGATCAGTATGGGACTTTTAAAAATGTTTATGCAACTGTATTCAACAGATCACCTACAGATCCTTTGATACCGGGGCTCAGGGTTGGGCCCAGGTGGAGCCGCCACAATTGCGTCCAACGAGTGGAGTGCCAACGGTAGCCCAGAAGATGGGCTGGACGGGGACAATGAAGACAAGACCATGGACGGGGATGCCGAGGGTGTGTGGTCCCCAGACATTGAGCAGAGCTTCCAGGAGGCCCTCGCCATCTACCCTCCCTGTGGAAGGAGGAAAATCATCTTGTCAGATGAGGGAAAGATGTATGGTGAGTTCACTGGATAACTGCCAGAGTAACAAAAGAACAACAATTACATGGAAATCCACTCCATAATGAATGCACGAAAATGAGAAAAACATTCATTCCACAGAGACTTGTGGCTAAAAGAAAACAAACACTGGTAATACTTTCCTGAAAAGAAATGAGAAAAATACTTTTCTTCTTTTTGCGCTCAAAACTTTGCTACAGAATGTTTTCTTTCCACTCAGAGCTCTCTTTAACAAGTCTGTACCTGTTGTGCTGTGACCCAGGGGCAGGTTCTTCCAGTCGTACCAGCACTCTCAGAGCTGGTTATTGCTGTCCTGAGAGCAAATCGGCTGCTCTCCCATTGATTTACACCTGTCTTTTTCTTCAGAGTGTTTTTATTGCTTTGGTTTTTTTTTTCCCCTCCTACTATTTCACAACCTGTCCTTCTCGACATTATGTTGTTAGACACACAACCTCTTTGTCTTCTTTTTATCTCTGAACAACATCTTATATACTTTTTTTTTCTTAAACACACTGGTATCACTGGGAGAATTTTGCCTTTAGGTAACCGGTTAAAGCCGGTTTTCAGGAGAACTGTTGCGTTTGATGCAGGATGGCTCAGTTAAATTAGCAATAATTAGCCCAGCATGAATCGAGACTCAGAACAAAAACATCACATTGGCCTGCTGTTCTGCCGAAGAGTTTAAACATCCATATGGTTTCGGAATAGTTGCGCTGTTTCCTGCAGCGTGTCCATTAAATTGCAGGTGTTGAGCCCCTAATGTCCTGAAACGCTCCAGATGGATATGTTGGCAAGGCCTTCCGTAGACTCACTCGCATGCAGGTGTGGGAAATTTAACACACTTGTCTTTGATTATTTTGATCGTACTCTCCCATTCCTAATGTCGAGACTGTTTTCTTAATGAGATTTTATTATTTTATCTTGGAAATGTAGCTGAAGAGCCATAAATGTTGAATGCGAGAAATCAAGCTGGTTTTTTTACGTTTGTACTTGCTGTGCCCTCTTTTTGATTTTGCTAAGTTGCAGTGATATTTTTTTCAGCATTGTAACTCAGCCCCCTTGTGCTTAGTAAGAATTTCCTGCCCTTTAATTAATGTCCATCAAGGCTCTAAAAGTTTAAACTTATTGTAGCTTCAGTGCAACCATAAAAACCATCAATCATGGCCATCAAAATGTCAGAGGGACTGTGTATCTTAGAAGCATCGGTGTTTGTTTCTTGTGTGGCTTTTATTTGCTTGACGTCAGATGGGATTCTTTTGGCATGATTCAACCAAGATGGAATCTTATCCTCATTTGTTCAGCAGATTCGGATATTCAAGGACAGGCACATACCTGAGATTACTCAGCCACTGCTGCAGCTTCTGTTGTTACTCTCAACCTGCCTTAAGGAACAAAGTAGTCATGAAACGCGTGGTGGATTAAACGATTACTCAAAACTTATTAAAATTTTTGTTTGCGTAGATGAATTTCTAATAATTAGTTTATCAAATATTTCTGACATACTGCTTTTCTTTTGGATAATTTTAAGTTGAATATTTTATGGTTTTGCTGATACGCTAAATACGGTTACAGATTAATCCGCCCGAAAAAAGGAACATTTTAGCATGGATTTAACAAATAAATGACATATACATATAGTGTAAATAATGTAGTTGAGTTTGCTCTCACTATGTGATGGCACAAATTATCCCAAAGATCTAAATTTTTATGTAGGTGTCTAGCGCACAGGATACACCTATGCTGATACACTTATGACAGGTTAGTACTGGTTGACAACAAGATTGGTTGGGTTTTATCCAATGCGATTTAATTTTATATGCGATTTATATTTTTAATTTTTATATGAAATCAAATAACATCTATCAACTTTTTATTCTGGCAGATTTGAATATCATGCATAAACATATACATATGATATAATGGGAAAAATATTGTGACATATTTCTACTAGGTGCCAGAGCTAGTTTAGAACATGCTTTGACTTTTGCACACACATAAACTTTTGAAGCATTTTCAAATTTACCCAAGTAAATTTTTATTCCACTTTAGCTGTGCAGTGCTGTGTCTTCCCTTCCATACATTTGTCATGAGAACACCAACAAAGAAGCAGGCTTTGCACAAACCTGCCCCTTCAGCAACAAACTGTCAAGACCCCTTTTAGAAGCCCTTTTTTTTCTAGAGCATTAAACACCCTCTCCTTTTACAATAAGTCATCTGAGGCTCTGCTGGGAGAGCCAAGGAATGCCCCCAGAAGAAGCCTTCTCACAAGGTGATTACCTCAGACATCTAAAAGCTGCCCTGACGTGAGGTTAGGGGAATGTTAACGATTGCACTGTATGTAAGACTGTCTACCTAGCAGTCTCAGACTCCAATGGCCTCCAAAAGCAGGCAAGTCATCCCTCCCATTGGGAATTCCATTTTTTCTTCCAGGATTTTTATTTGCTGGGAAACCTTTGCAACTTTCCATTCGCAAGAAAAGACTACTTTATACTCATGTGTTCACTGCTCCACAAGCCTGTCTAGACTTCCCAGTGCCATTTCCAGTCACTTACATAGCTCAGGGGTGACAGAAAGTTCAAATAAG